GAGCATGTATCTTTATTAGTGATTAATGCACAATAGCAAAAAATAAGTTAAATGTGCCAGGTATAGAAACTATGTTATGATACAATTAGAACAGACTATATGTGCAATAAATCTCCTTCACAAAGGCTGCAAAAACAGGAGCTATCAAGAATAGCCATAGCATCAGGAAAATATAAAGAAGCATGTAATTTAATATTTATAATTTATTTCAGATAAATACCAAAAAATGTTAGTAAAAACACATCCTGTGCTTCTGTGTACAGATGCATGAGTAATCAGAGATAATTTAAATTTAACTGGATGATCTATACTTTTGCTAAATGTGACAACCCTATTAATGCCAAGATCTGAAATCAGGTCTTCCGGTTGCAAATCTAGTGCTATTTCCATCCTACTCTCCCTTTTAGTTCACTTCATAAAATAACCAGGCGCGTCAAGTTTCAGAGTATCTTTTACATACTTCGTTGGTGCCCTGGGCATTTGTAGAATGGTGCTGGAAGGGAGTTATAGACTCTGATTTTCACCTCTCTGTTTTCACTCTGTAGTGCATTCTTCCAGACTGTTTTGTTGAGTGAGGCCAGGCTGAGAAGCCTTTTTGGTCTTGAAAGATGAAGTCAGTGGCACTTAAGAATTAGTCCAGAATAGTTCTGTAACATTGGTTGAAATCAGCTAGAGGACACAAAACTACAAATGGATATGACCAACTTATTTCACTCATCTGGGACCCCATCACCTTAACAGGGTTTGTGAAAAAAAGTAGTACTGTTATTCCCATTCTAGTACACTGGACAAAGCTCTTTCCATGCATGATTCTATACGACTTCCACAATAAGTCTCTGGGGGTAGTTTATTTTTTAAATGGAAATTTGCGTTCTTTTGTATGAAATGACTTATCTAGGATCATGCAGCTGTTAATAGCCAGACCTATGAGTTTTATCCACATTTTCTTTACCCAGATCCTGAGAATTTCCACTGTACAATGTTACAAGGTGGGTCTGAGGGAAACAGTTTCTAGGGTTACCTGTAATATATTAACTCCAGTAGGTGCCCACCATCCAATCACACTTCCCAAGTGTCATTTCCAACAGTGCAAAAAATGTATCACTTTTAGTGTAAGTTTTACAACTCCTTGCACAGTTAACAAATTCAGAATAGATTTTATGAACATCTTAACATCTGGCTACTTCAGAATTCTTTGCCTTTCAGGAAGCTGGGCTGACAAATGTGCGAGGAAGACAGGTTAGGCCAAGGTGTTCAATATCCTCCTTTCTATCACCTGAGATCCATGGTACAGGGTGGAACTATCTGAGAGGATAAACAAGGGATGCTTTCCTTTCGGATTTAGAGTCAACATTCTTTTCTTTTTTTGAATGCCAATTATGTAGAAAGCACTTTCATATGTGATGGCTGGTATTTAAAAGCTTCTAACTCAAAGGAGGGGAAGATAGTGTAATCTACTGTGAGATGCAAAGTTTAAAACTCTGACAGGTAAGGATGCCATACATTTTTTAAAAGTCACATTAAAATAAAATCCAGGAAGAAGTTAGGAGCAGAGAAATTGCTATGTTTCTTCCCTGGTTGATTATACGTGCTCAACAAGTCTTTGCCGAGTTGAAACCCAAATTTAGATTGCAGTATTGGTATTTCTGATCCAGCAGTCAGGATCATTTGTTGTAAAGCTTCACTCATGGGAATCCAATACCCTCTGCCTTGCTGTTTGCCTAGAGTGTTTCACATACATAAAGGAAAGAATCAGGGCACACAGCCTATAGACTCTATTTGACCCCTGGAAGGGGATATGAAAGACAATTTGTTACAGAAGCCACACCACGATAAAGTTGCAGCCAGAGGCAAGAGTAGGACACCAAGCTATCCATGAACCCAGAGGAAGAGCCTTGTTAGCTGAGGAGACTGTATTATGTGGACTCCAGACTGGAGTACTCTGCAAAATGTAAATATATTTACAGAACAATAGAAGAGAATGTTCAGAATCAGGAAGGCTGATATCTGTTCAGCTTATTGGAAAAGGGACTGAAAATCTGCCGTTTCACTTCTCAGTTCAGTTGCCAGGGCTTTTTTCTTTGTGGTTAAAATACAAACAAAAGTGACTCTGAATTAAGTCTATTAATTCCCTCCATTTCTTTAAGTTATAATGCAGTAGGTTAGATCTGAAGTAACTTTTGAGTGAGGAAGCCTGAAGACATGCTCTGTTCTTTCTCTGGGCCACAGGTACTTTGCTGAAGTACCTGCACAAGTACAAATCCTTTCCATTCCGTACAGACCTGAGGACTGGACCGCAACAATGCCCCGCACACGGTCCTTTACCTTTCCTGAATGCAAAGACTTCGTCAGGTTGTTGTCTGACAGCGTGGTAAGAAAGGCTGAGCTTTTCACAACAAAGAGCTGTGCTCAGCTCCTCTTTGTCACCATGTCATCAGCTTCTGTGCCCACATAGCCCTCAGCCTTCTCATTCCAAAATGATTTCCATCTCATTGATGCCCGCATCCCACAACCTGATGGTTTAGATAAATTGTGTGTCAAATCTTGGAAGCTCTATCACTTCTTTCAAGTCGTCCTTTGAGAGTCTGAAGGGCATAGAAATATTACTACTGCATGCATATTTAGAGTGCAAAGAGGATACAAGACAAAATTCCTTAGTGCGCTCACACAGCCAGCTGACTTCTTTGGGGTCATCATCTATGGCCTCTCTACTTCACTACTCTCTTCTTGCACTGATCCCTGTACAGTGCCCGTGGACTGCAAGACGACACAAGCTGTTCTCTCTGTCTTTACTCACTTTCTCTGGTGGAAAACTCATAATCAGCAGCAGCGTCTCAGCAAAACACTTTCTAACAACTGCAGGAAACTTTTGTCACTCTCTTCTCTTATTCATTCATAACTTTATTCAAACTCTTGTCACATATGTTACAGTTAAGTGTTAAATTTAAGGGCAGCATCCTGAATCCGTCATTTAGTGATTAACACAGCTCTGGCATCTAATATGCGTATTTTGAGTGGGCGAATTAATGAATGATCATTGTCTATACTGATTTATTTTTCTGTCAAAGTAGCTAAACACTATTGCTTTCAGTATGAGAATTTGTTTGATAAATGAGTGTACCAGGAGGAAGAAAGTGACAGCAATAATTGTAATGTTCTTAGAAAGTTGAGGTTATTTCAAACCTACCCAAAGTAAAGGGAAATAAAATCTCTAAACCAGAATGTTGGTTTATAATAACTAAGAAAAATGTGTTTATAAAACCATGTGAATTTCCACTTCTCTCAACAGAGTATAACAGAAAAATGATACGCACATGTCCTGTGTGGATCTGGCACCACAGGAGGTCTTTAACAGGATCCCAAGAGGCTACAGGTGCAGTAGCAGAGCACTAACATGCTCCAAGCCCTGGATTTGATCTTGAGGCTCTGAAAAAGAAAAAAATCAAAATAATAGATTTTTATTGATCCTTTACTTTGGTGATTATAAAGTCCAAACTGAGCCCAAATATACTTCCTTGTAGTCTTGGTCACTGGGCCTAGCTCTTTCTTCTTAAATCACAAAAAATACTTCATCTTTATGATATTCCTATAAATAATGAAATACAGCTATATAGTCATCCCAAGATGATTTTTACCCCCAGACTTTTCCAGTTTTATTTAACTACTTCTCATCCTTGATGTTTTTCAACATTTTCACCAAACTAATTTATATCCTCAGGATGTGTTATAGCTTCTTTCTAACACATCTAGAATGGAGCCTGGCATTGACTCCAAATGAGAACTGCCCATGTGGAGAACAGGGCTAACATGTGTATCTCTCATTCTGGGCTTTTCAAACTTGTACTGACACTTGTGGTAGAGTCCTACCTCAGTAGGGATTAGCAAAAAGAGGATGACACAAAGCTTGTGTGGGACCAGAGCTAAGAGAAATGACCAATCCTGAAATGGCTCTTTTGTCAGGAGGCAAGATAAATACATTCTCACCATATCAAGGATATGCAAGGGATTTTATTGAAGCACACTGTAGCAATATTTGAAATCAGATGAGCAGCTACATTATTAGGTCTTGGAACAGGTTTTCAATAGTCAGTTGGAGAAGATGAGGATCAGGACCTAATCCTTGGGTAAAGAGCTTGCAAAGCAGTAGACAAAATACAGCCAAGAAGACTGAGGTTCAAAGGAGGATTGAATTTTAATGGGAAAACAAAGGTGGTAAGAATCGAAGTGGCTCTGGAGTTATGGAAATGTTCACTGAATGCCATTGTCTCTACTTTCTAATCCTAAATTACCTCAAGTGAAAATGGGGATAATAAGCTGAGTGTGATGATATACAACTGTAATCCCAGGACTAGGGAGGCTGAGGCAGGAGGATCATGAGTTCAAGGCAAGCTTGAGCTACAGAACAAGAGCTTGTCTCAAGAAAAAAAAAATGAAGATAATAATACATACGTTACAGAACTCCTGCAAAGAATTAGGACGGTAATATATGGAATATACATAATGTTTAGTAAATATTGTTACTACCCATTAAAATGCATGAATAAAATGGAAATTAAATAAACTTGAAGCTTTCAAAATCATGTATTAAAAGCTTATTCAAATGTTTTCAACACAACAAAAACATTCATTTAAAAAAATAATTAGAAACAAATTAGAAGTGATATGAATTGGTTAAAAATACCTTGTAAAATAAGCATAGCATATATGACACATTATCCTAATAAGTGTAATAATAATGTGATTATAAAATATTTCCTTTACTTCAGACTTCATTTGTAAAAAAAGTAACTTTATCTTATATCTTTAGAATCAGAATTTTTAATGAACACTCAATATCATAGGGAAATCAGAATTTTTCTTATTAGTGCAACTCAATACTTTTTAGAACTCTGCTAATTCTGTTATGCAGTACCTTGATGTTTTGCTTCCCTTATGCAATTATCAAAATCTTAAGAAGAAAGGGTTACCACCCAGTGGGGATGTGTGGCTGCTTTGGCCCTACAGTTGAGATCCAGAGATTGGCAGTAACATTATCTGTGACAATCAGAAGTTTCTTGCTGAGCAGAAGACCTGTATAAAAGTCGTACCTGAAGGGTCTGCAGAGCTGTTCTTCAGTTCCCTCACGTTTATTCACCACTGACACAGCGTTGCTGCTGGTATAGCTGAAGGAGGATCTCATCCGAAGTCATCATCTGGTAACTCATCTTCAAATTTTTCCTTTAAATTTAATGAGATTTTTAAAAATAATCAAGCAAGAATTTAATGTGTACCATTTTCTGCAAATATTACGCTGTTTTATTCATGGTAAAATGTTCTGGGAAACAGAATTAAATTAAACATAAAACAAGGGATAAACTCATGCCAAGGAAAGACTCACTTTTGTGATTAAACCCTTTTGAGATACTTGGACTCTTAAAAAGCACATCTGAAATTTCAGAAAAGTGATAAACATTTGGTAGGATATGTTTTAGTAGTCTCCTTATCTAAATTTTGGAATGAAATAGAGTGGTGGTAAATACATAGTTTTACAGTGAATAGTAAAACCTTGTTAAATAAATTTCCATTTTTCCTGCAGTGTCCTTCTTAGATGTTTATTTTACGGCTCATAGAGAGCTCAATCTATGCACCAAGGTTGGAGAACTCCCACTGATTGCTGAATATGCATTGCCTGCACAAAGGACAACCTTTTTTAGATTTCTTTTCTGAAAACTGCATGAGCTTTAAAGATTGTAAAATATCTTTTTGTTGTTGTTGTTCTTTCGCAGAGACATCCTATAAGAAGTCTGTGTCTCTCTTAAGAACAAGGAAATGAAGCAGAGATGTGTGAGGGGAACAGGACAAAGCTAGGATTATAACAGCAACACTTCTGTTTTTCAGTGGTTATTTCTAACATAACTGAAAAAGGAAATTTTTCTTTCTTGTTCCATCCCTCTTTATAATGTACAGTGAAAAGATGCAGCAAATTAGCATCTTTCTTGGGTTACTTCTAAATGATGTGATTTCCCTTTAAAATAGGAGACCACAGCCACTGTATGTTACAACAGAGAGCATTCAGAAAATGTGCTTCTAGGGCTGGGGATTTAGCTCAGCGGCATAAGCGCCTGCCTTGAAAGCAGGCAGTCGTGAGTTCGGTCCCCAGTACCGATAAAAAGGAAAAAGATTAAAAAAAAAAAAAAAAGAAAATGTGCTTCTAAAAGCCTTCGTAATTATTGAAATGCAGATAAAGAGAAGAGATAAAAGCTAAAACTTGCATATTCTCAAAGTATATGTATGTTAATGCAATAAATTGGACAAATATGATGTAAAACTCAGAATACATATCACAAATAATTAGATGCTTCTATTTGTTTTGGTGCATTTTTTCAATGGTAGTAGAAATGCTCAGTAAAACCTCAAAATCAAATAATAACTCAATATTAGTGATAACAATTTACCTAATTAAGACATCAACTTTAAACCTCTTATTTAAACCAACATAAAATATAGAAGAAAATTCTCAAAAGAAAGATTTTGCATTCGTTATGTGGCTCAAAATTTACAAAATAAATCTTGCACAAAAAATTGTCAAGATACTAAAGAAAGTAAAAGTCAGTGTCAGCTGGGCACTGTTATAGTACATGCTTATAATTCCAACCTTGTAGGAGCCTGAAGTGTCACAAGTTCGATCACAGCCTGGGCAATTTAGAGACTTAGTGAGATTTTGTCTCAAAAAAAGAAAAAAAATGTTTTTTAAACCTGGGGAGTATAGCTCAGTGTGTCAGTATGAGGGCCTGGGTCAAATCTCCAGGACTAAAAGAAAGTTATCTTTCTAATTTTTCAAAGTATGTATTTGTGTAATGTTACTAATATTTCCATAATATGAAGAGGCTGATTTCAAAAGCCTCTCTTATAAGCTAGCCCAATTAGTTACTGTCACATTTTGTTATTGGCTATATGGTTATAAATGAAAACTACTATAAATGTATTCTTATAGTTCAGAACACTAAAATTTTCTTCTCTTTTTAGTGAAGATGATGTCTGCCAAAGACATGGCTAAAGTCATAATTGTCATGCTTGCAATTTGTTTTCTTACAAAAACAGATGGAAAACCCATTGAGTAAGTACTGGGGCCTATTCTGCACAGTAAGGAAAGGCATGGGATGGGTTTGAAGGTTGGCTTTATATTTTGGTGGTGGGAAGCTAACCAAATGGCCTTCTCTTCCTCTGTTCTTCCTAGGAAGAGAGCTGTGAGTGAGATACAGCTTATGCACAACATGAGCAAACATCTGGCCACAAAGGCAAGGCTGGATTGGCTGCTTAAGAAGCTACAAGACGTGCATGATTTTATTAGCCTTGGAGACGCACTCACTGCCAAAGAAGGGGGTGCTCTGAGGTCCTCCAAGAAAGAGGACAATGTCCTTATTGACATCTATCAAAAAAGTCTTGGAGAACCAGACAAAGCTGACGTGGATGTGTTAGCTAAAGCTAAATCCCAGTGAATAAAGATGTGATTAAGGTGCTGCTCTGGATAGTGCAGGGAACCAACACTAAATGCTGCTTACTTTTCTAACCTCTAAGACTATCAAGTGCCAATATTTCTATTATTGCCAAAATTTGCATGTAATTCATTGTTAGACATAATGGCTGCAATTTTCATTGACTTCTTTATTTCACTTGTATTCGTTTAAGAGCTCTTTATCTACCTTTATTGTTTATTCTTTTTAAAGTATGTGGTTACATAACTCATAAAAGAATAAATTACATATTTTCACCTCTCTATCATTATAATGCGAAATAAAATTCAATGGTCATCAATCTAATTAAGTGAAGAGTTTCCTACTTTTCAAAAGTTTATCTTTTGGTTTGTGATGAATACCCAAATGTTTATATAGATATGAATAGATAGAATAACACAATTTTCTAAATCATGTGTTTCACGATATATGGAACTAATCTGTTTCTAACACCAAAGTACTGGTTCCCAACTCCTCACTAGCTAGATACTGTTGTTCTATTCTTTTTAGGAAAGACAACAAAATGGTCAGGAAAAAGAGCAAAAAGTAGTCTAAAATTTGACTGTTAAAGTGTTCGGGTCTATATAAGCTCACAGATGACATCTCTATCTGAACCCCAAATTGCAAAGGATATGGGCCAGGTATGCTGATACATACCTGTAATCCCAGCATTCTGGGAGGCAGAGACAGGAGGATTGAAAGTTTAAACCAGCCTGGGAAAAATTCCTTTTATGGGGTTTAATTACCTCAGACTCTTAGTGAATTTACTTCGTTTACTTAGCTTTCCAGATTTAATTTTCCATTTAATTCAGTGATTCTTTAGCTGTCTTGTTTTGTTTTAATGGAGTTTTATCCTGGATAAAGGATAAAAAAAGGATCTCTGACAGCTTTTTTTTTTTTTTTTTTTTTTTTTTGTCTTTTTCTTTTTTATGGGCTGGAGATTTAGCTCAGTGGCATAAGAACCTGCCTTGCAAGCAGGCGGTCGTGAGTTCGATCCCCGGTACCGATTAAAAAAAAAAAATTTTAAAGCGCTGAGATGTAGCTCAGTGTGAAGGCCCTGAATTCAATTCCCACTGATATACAAAAAAAATAAAAAAATAAAAAGAACACAATTGTAATATTTGTTCTTTATTGACAAATATTATTTAGTGTCTATTATTTGTGATATACTTGTTTGTATAGTGACTTTTTTTCTGTCTTCACGGAGCCTGTAATTTAAGCATTAGTTAATTACTAGCTTTGATGAGTGTTATGTAGGAAAAGTACAACATGCTATAAAAATATAAACTACAGAACCTTCCTCTATTTAGGCCAGTTTTGTCTGATCCCCGAACTTTCTGTCATGACAAAGTATTCTACACTGTGTGCTGTCCTCTATAGGATACACATGTGTTTATCTAAAATGTGGCCAGTGGAATTGGCAATTAATTTTATGCCTCCATTTAATATAAATTTAAACAGCTACAAGTGGTTAGTGGCCATTATATGGAAGAGTGCAAATCATCATCAAGATGCTCTTCCTGAATCACAGCAATGAGTTAAAGGGATGAAAAGGAGTAGACAGCCTGCCTGGCAGGTTGGTACAACATCTGCAAAGGTCCTGAGGTGGGAGGGAACATGGCTGGGATGCTGCTGTCTGGGATAACTCCAATAAGTAAAAGTCAATGCCTGGCCTCAGAGATTTCATGCCCCAGTGAGGAAGACAGAGGTAGACAAAGAATTCACTACATGTGACCAAGCCTGTGAGACACAGAGAGGAGGAAATGGATCTGCCTGATTGAAAATGGGACTTTGATGGTAAATTGAGTCTGCAAAAAGTGGAAGAGATGACTGAACAAATGTCCGCCCTCCTGGTAAAATCCATCAGGCTTTGGTTTCAACTCAGAGAACTGAAGCTAGTTTCAGCAGAAAGGGGTATGTCTCTGAGTCACTGAGAATGCTGAAGGAAGTAGGCTCCAGGTGGCAGCTTGAAGGAGACCCTCATATGTGAGGGACTTGATCTCTCTCCTTCTCAGTAGTTACCTAACAAGACCACCCCGGTCAGGAAGCAGCTGCCCTAGTAACACCCCAGCCAGGCTACCACCCAGCCTAGCACAGACAGATGTCCACCATTCAGCCTCCTGGTGTCCAGCCAACGACTCATGGTTCTCTCTGATAACGACACGGCGATACCCACCTTCTCTACAATGGCACTGCCACTGGGAAAGCAGCAGTGGCAGAAGAGTGTCACTTCTGCCTCCCCAGGAGTGTGTAGGATTGGCTGAGTCTAAATCTTTAAAAGCTCTGCTGCCGAGGTGTTTGAAAAGCTTGTGATTAGCTCTTTAGCTTACGTTACAGAGAAGTGTGCAAGGGAGGGTGACATGGATGTGTTACTCCAATTTTCTGGTAGCACAAATGCCACAGTGAGCCTTCTGGTACAGATCCCTTATGGAGTTTTGTGAAAATTTATTTTGAATGCTTACTCATGGGAGGAACCCTCAGCCATGACCAAGTTTTATAAGATTGCCTGTGAAGCAGAAGAGGAGGCTATGTTCATACCAGCAAAGTAAAATATTCCTGTCCATTATTTCCACCTCCAGTGTGAAATCATGTCTCTATAAAAAGTGCCACCATATTGGTGTCAGGTAGTTCATTGTTTTAATTTGCATATCTCTGAAGACTGGTGGACTTGCATTTTGCTTTACATATTACCCATATGGCTTGTTTATCGCTGAATTACTTATTTTTAGCCTTTGTCAATGTTTCTATTGGTTTCCAAGCCCTGTTGACTTTGCACTGTTTATTTGTTTGGTGGGATTTGTGTGTGTGTGTGTGTGTGTGTGTGTGTGTGTGTGTGTCTGTCTGTCTGTCTGTCTGTCTGTCTCTGTCTGTCTTTTTGAGACAGGATCTCCCTTTGCTCACTGGCCTTGAACTCCCTTTGTAGCCCCCGCTGGCCTCAAATTTGAAGCAATCCTGCCTTAGCCTCCTGAGTGCTGGGATTACAGGCATAAACCACCACACCCAGTGAATTTGAGCTTTTTGTATTCCTTGCATTAACAAGTTTCTTCTTTGGTTGCAAGTGTTATGAATATTTTTATTCTAGTGTCCCAGAAAGTTTTAACTGTTCTTATGATTTAACTTTTTTTCTTTGAGGCAGTCTCATTTTGTTGTCCATGCTGGCTGCAGACTCCTGGGTTTAAATGATCCCCTGGCTTCAGCCTTCGAAGTGCTAGGACTAGAGGCACACACCACCCATGCTTCTCCTATGATTAATTTTGATGTACCCAAATACATCACACTTATTATTTGCCCCTTGGTCTTTTCCTGACTCTGGTCACAGAGTTAGTTCTTACATCTCCTATATGTCTACTTTCAGGTATTGATATTCATTCTTTACCTTCTCACTATGTAGTTCTGTTTGGCCTTGAACTCACTACATAGTCTAGGCTGGCATCAAACTCTTGGTAATCCTCCTGCTTCAGCCTCCTGAATGCTGGGATTACAGATACGCATCACCACATTGGCCTCAGGTTTTAATTCCGGAAATGACCAATTTTGTGTCTGACAAATTGTTATTGTCAGATTTTATTTATTAGTTTTCGCTTTACAAGGAGCACCATGCAGGGCTCCTGAGGTTCTCAGGAAGGCCTAAGAATTGTGTGCCTCTCCCTCAACCAATGCCACCACCGACTGGGCCTACAACTGGTATGAGAAGGATCCCTGGAGCCAAATGCCCTCCCTCCACTTCCTGGATTCTCCACATTACAGAGCAACAGAATTGACAACAGACAAAACTGATGGAAGAAGAGATCAATGCCCAGGAAGAGAATTTTGCTTCAGGATGAAAGTAACACCCTTCCACAGAGACCTAGTGAGAGACATTCTTGGGAGATGGGCTTGGAGAGGTGAGAGTTAAATAGAAATATCCAGGGATCCTCTGTGAGTCCAGACTCAGACAAGGAAGATAACAGGGCCTGTATTCTGTTGTAGGAGGCCGAGCTTGATGGAAGTATTTGTCAGAGAGACCATACTGAAGAAAGAAAACAAGTCTAGTGTTATGTCTGAACTCTGGCACTGATGCCAACATCCGGCAGAAATCAGTGATCAAATTAATTGATCAATATCAGGGGGAGCCTAAATGTCTTCACTAAAATTAAAGTGCTCTTTTTTTTGTTTTGGCAAAAGGCTATTGATGAGTGGTTCCTAGGGTTTGTCAGTATCAGTTGATATAGAGTGCCATGATCCATCCTGTGGATCGGTCTGTGGGCCTCGCCTGGAGAGGGGACGGAGATGGAGGGCTGGGCAAGAGAAAAGAGAGATAGAGACAAGGCAGGATTCCATTCAAGTCTTGTTTATTCTTAAAATGGCTACAACTTATATAGGGTGGAGGCAGGCCAATGGGGCAGGAAGAGGGCATGGAGTGTTATCTGATAGGTCATCGTCACATCCGGATATATGACGTAAGCAGGAGAGGATTATGGGAGATGTAGGCTGAAGCAGGAAGTTGCTCACGTCATGCGTGCTGTAGGCAAGGGGAGGATCATGGGAAATGTAGGCTGACACACAAAATGCCCTCAGGTGGGAGGGGCAGGGCAGCAGCAGTCATTCTGAGCCACTCCCTACAGTGCCATTGCTGTCACTGAGTTTACTACCATAGACCAGGTAGCATAGTAGTGGCCAGCATTCAGTTTTCTCTCTATATCACTACCCGGATGCTTACCGGTCATAAACAACATTAAGGCTGTACTCAAAGAATGGGGCTGAAGAAGTTGCAAACCCCAGCACACACCAACAAACAAACTAAATTGGAAAAGACAAGGCAACAAAATGTATCCAAAAATTTCCAACTCCCCCTGAAAAGTGGTACCTAGGGCATTGAAGGGACAGAAATCATAAGCTACACAGTAGCTAAGTCTGAAAGGGTACGAATGGAGGTAAAATGGTTCTATAAGATGCTTTGCAAATTTAAAGAGCATATAACTAATCACACAATGACAGTAATGAAACAGATGATCAGTGAGTCAAAAGAAGACACTCAGAAACAGCTACTGGAGCAAAAGAAAGAGACACAAAACAACAATGCCCAGCATGGAAAAGAGTGGGAGTCTACCGGAAAGTTCCATAGCAAAACTCAGGAGACTAAAACATGATTGAGATTATGGGTCACAGAAGTGACCAGTGTGAAGAGTGTTGGACTGCACTAGGGTCAATTTTCAATTAATGAGAGATACCGTAAAAACAATGGGAACAAGAAAAATGGGTCCTCCAGCTCCTAGATGACTCAAAGAGGACCAATATAAGAGTAATTGGAAACTGATATACAGATT